TTAGTACTTATTTTAACTATATTAACACGTAAATTATTTTAATTGGTTAATTGATGCTTAATCCACTTTATTTAAAGAAAGAAAATGATAAATAAATATACATATAAATAAGTAAATGCATTCCAAAAGAAATACCACAAGGAAGTAGTTAAAAAAAAAAACTTAGATTTCAAATAAATTAATTTCACAATAACAAGTGAAAGAGTAATTTATTTTTCCAGCATTTCTAGAAAGGATAATGCTACTTACCTCAGTTATTGACTTGGCACAAATGAATGCAAAGCCAAGAATTATTTATACCCTTTTCCTTTGAATGGACTTGGCAACTATTTTCCCCCAATTTGTGTAGTGAACTTACTGCTTTTTTAGTGAGGGAACTGACAGCCCCCTCCTCGGTTCTGCAGAATAACATGTTATTCTTAAATTTGTAGGTTAAGTTTTGGACATTTTACAAGCCACTCATTCATCTTTACCACCATTATACACATAAGTCCTCATATTTTCACCTTATTGCATACACATTCTTAAGAAATTAAATAATAATAATAATAATAATAATTCTGGATATTACAAAATCAGACATCAATTTGGATTTGTTTGAATTAAAAAGTTTTAAAACTAATATAATTTGTTTAGTTTGTAGGTTTATTTTCAAACCAATTTAGTTTGTAATTTTATTTTCAAACTGACTAAACCACTTATTAAAAAATAATTTAATTAAATAATATAATATTTTACTCTTTTTTCATAAATATATATTTGAATTTTTTGGTAAAATAAAAATATAATCAACAAATTGTATTTAAAATATTTCCTTTTTCTTAATACTTTTCTTATTTCTATAGTATAGTTTTTTTAATTATTGTATTACATATTAATTGTGTCAGTTATCATTTTCCTATTTTATTTTTTTCTATAATTGTACAATATAATTTAATTGATTTAATAAAAAAAAATGTAACTATAAATCATTCTTTATACAAACAAAAACTCTATTCTTAAAACATTGTATACTCTTGTGTTGCATTAGTTTGAGTTTATATGTCTTAGTTTGCGTTTATATGTCTTAGTTTGCGTTATTAGAATTTAGAACTATCATTTTGTTATTTATGATGTTAGTGTGTTTTATTATTGTATTTTTTACAATTTGATGTTTAGATTTTTTTTATCTAATTAAATATATTTAAAATAGTGTAAAATCAATCAATTTGACCAAACCACATTGATCTAATCTAAATTAGATTGGTTTGGTTATAATATAATAGTGGATTAGGTTGATTTAAAAATTTTATTAATCAATTAAATAGATTTAGTTTTAAAATGTTAAAATTTGAATTAATCCACAGTGTGAACACCCCTAACATTATCTAAATGTATATACTTTTAGTCTTTAAACTTATAATATATACATATTTTTAATCTATAAATTTATAAGTTCAAAAACTAAAAATATGAATATTTGAATAAATTTAACATATTAATTGACAAAAAAAACTAAAAAAATATATTTTTCATTATGAGGGAAGAAAAAAGTGCAAAAAAACTAAGGATGAAAAATACATAAAATCCTAAAGTTGAGAAACTAAGATTGAAATTTTTCCCTTTTATTTTTTAATTTTTAATACGCACATGCATCATGATTGAAAATATTGTTCCGATCCGTACGCCGAAAAAGATACGTTGTTCCGAACTTCCGATCCTACTCATCGGAACAAAATTTTCAAATCGGAACAATCGGGGTCAACACGGAATATGAAAATCAAAGTGGGCCCCCATATAATGAATTTAATAGTCATCCAATTGTTTATATGTTTATACTTTTTTAACAATAAAACGAAATTTTATTTTAAGGAGTATAAAAAGATATACTCCCCTTTTATACGAAGTAAATTGGCATGGAATTTTTATCGATAGTGAATTGGCATGGATTAATCTTTTTTGGGTTTATTGAAAGTTAATTATTTTGATTATATAAGAATTTAAATATTTAATTTTATATTTTTAATTAAAAATTTTAAATTAATTAGTGTTTTTTAGGAAGATTATTGGAATTAAACAAAGACTTAATAATTTAAATTAAAAAAAGGGGAAAATATCCTTTTGGACGGTTGTTCTATAAATTGGTGGTGAGGGAGGGCAGCTTCTCCCATCCAAACTTCTCAACCAAATCACTTGTCGCCAACCCAACTTCCTGGCTATGTCTCAAAAGACACTTTTCTCCACCGTTTTCATCACCCTCGCTGCCATAATGTTCGCCCATGAAATCCAATCCGTTGAAGGAAGGCCTTTGAAGGGCAAAAGCAGCACACCACCGGCACCATTGACTCCTACGGCTACAGGTTCCGTGACTCTGGCATCCCAATACCCACCACCACCACCACCCCACTCAAACTACACCTCGTTTCGTGATCAGAAGAAGGCAGAGCCACTAGGTCCGCCAGCACCCACCCTTAACCCACCTATTCACCACTATGCTGCTGCCATGCTGCGTCCACCACCGCCACCATTAACTCCTGCGGCTACAGGTGCCGTGACTCTAGCATCCCAATACCCACCACCACCACCACCCCACTCAAACTACACCTCGTTTCGTGATCAGAAGAAGGCAGAGCCACTAGGTCCACCAGCACCCACCCTTAACCCGCCTATTCACCATTATGCTGCTGCCATGCTGCGTCCACCACCGCCACCATTGACTCCTGCGGCTACAGGTGCCGTGACTCTGGCATCCCAATACCCACCACCACCATCCGATTCAAACTACACCTCGTTTCGTGATCAGAAGAAGGCAGAGCCACTAGGTCCGCCAGCACCCACCCTTAACCCACCTATTCACCACTACGTTGCTGCCATTCTGCGTCCACCACCGGCACCATTGACTCCTGCGGCTATAGGTGCCGTGACTCTGGCATCCCAATACCCACCACCACCACCACCACCACCACCCCACCCAAACTACACCTTGTTTCGTGATCAGAAAAAGGCAGAGCCACTAGGTCCGCCAGCACCCACCCTTAACCCGCCCATTCACCACTATGCTGCTGCCATGCTGCGTCCACCACCGCCACCATTGACTCCTGCGGCTACAGGTGCCGTGGCTCTGGCATCCCAATACCCACCACCACCACCACCCCACTCAAACTACACCTCGTTTCGTGATCAGAAAAAGGCAGAGCCACTAGGTCCTCCAGCACCCACCCTTAACCCGCCTATTCACCACTAAATTAAGATTACATCCCAAGGTTGATCACGGCTTCATCGATCCAGACTGCTTCATTGCTAAATAAATAAAATTGAATGAGTGTTCTGTTAGTCGGGTCATTTCCTTTCTGCTAGAGATGTAATATTGCTTTCTTTTCTTTGATGCTGTGATGTAATATTACTATGTAGTATGTACTGCTTTGAAGAAATATGTATAATTAGTGTGATGCAATTAGCTTATGTGATGTTTGAACAAATGTTTATTTGTCTGATTAGTCGAATCAGCATTTGACTCTAATCACTAAGCGTAGACTCCAAGTTGTTATATAAAAAATTGGTTGAATACCCAAATTTATCCCTTGTTTTAGTGCAGTAACAGATTTACTTTCTGACATAATTTAAATTTTAACAATAAAAATATATAATTTACATAATGAATAAAATTTCTACAACATTAAAAATGAATTTCGGGTGTCTTAATGCATTTAATTTCCGTGTGCCTGAAATTTATCTACAAGTGGAAGCCTCTAACATGAAAATGGAAGAATTGAAGAATGGAAAAGGGACCTAATTCCTAAAGAAAGAAAGCGGGTGAAAATAAAAAGGAGAAATGGAAATATATATATATAGAGAGAGAGAATATGAATTCATTTGCACATAATTTGTATACGTCACATCTATATAAAATCATAATTTTTTATTTTTTTATTTTTAATTATTTAAATATATCATAATTTTTTAAATAAAAAAGATAATTATTTTAAAAAATTATAATAAAAATGAAAAACTATAATTATGAAAAATTTAGAGATAAATAATTAAAATTTTAAGTAAATATAATAT